AGTAAATGTACCATGCTTTCCTTATCCATCCATCAGCTGGCACACATCTAGGTTGATCCTATTTCTTTATTATTATGAACAAAGCACCAATGAACATGGCCCGTCAAGTGCTTCTGAAACAGGATATGAAGTCCTTTGGCTATGTGCCCAGAAGGGGTATGTCTGGGTCATGTTCTCCTAGTCTCTAGCCTAACTCCCGTACTGATTTCTAAAGTGGCTGCACTGGTTCGCACTTCCCAGCAGCATGGAAGCGCTCCCATGTCCCCACACCCACACCAGCATTTGTTGTCAGCCAAGGATGCTGAACACTTTTTAAAATGGCCAGTAGCAGCCACTTGTATTTCTCCTGAGAACTTTCTGTTCGGCTCCATAGCCCAGTTTTAAAATTGAGTTGTTCCTTGATGTTCAGTTTTTTGAGTGTTTTGTGTGTTCTAATCCTCTTAGGATGTATAGCTGGCAACATTGTCTCCCCTTCCGGAACTTTCTTTTTACTTGGTGGATTAGTTCCTTTGATGTACTGAAGCTTTTTAGTGTTTTGAGGTTCTGTTTGACAACTACTGGCCTTAAATTCTGAGCAAATAGAGTTGAATTCAGAAAATCATTTCTTATACCTCTAGCCTGCAGGACACTGTGTTTTCTTTGAGCTGTTTAAGCATTTCAGGCTTCACATTAAGACCTTTGATCCGTTTACATTTGATTTTTGTGCAGGTTTGTAAACACGTGTCTAACTTCATTCTTCCGCATGTGGATGGCCAGTTTTCCCTGCACGCTTGTTGAAGATGCTGTCTTTTCTCCAGTGTGTATTTTTGGCATCGTTGTCAAATATGAGATGGCTGTAATTATGTGCATTTGTATTTAGATCTTCTGTTTTTTCCCATTGTTCTACATATCTGCTTTTGTGCTATTATATCTGGTATTATATTGTTTTTATTTCTATACCCTCGTAATATAGATATTTTATAAAATGTTATATTTAAAATATTTATTGGCTATTTTTCTTTTTTCTTTTTTTTTTCCATAAATTGCCTGTTCAGTTCAGTGGCCCATTTCTTCATTGTCAATTAGTTGTATGGGGTATTTAATTTTTGCTGTTCTTTGTGTAATCTAGATAATAATCCTTTACAACATGCATAGCTGGCAAAGATCCACCCCTACCCCCCCACCCCCGTTTTGCAGGCTGTCTCCTCACTGTGGTCACACTCCCTATTTTGAAGAGTATTTAATTTATACCACACAGAAATATACTTTTTGACTGCTAAAAATTAGTAAGTTAAAAAGAATTGTCTACACTAGGCATGGTGGTCTACAATCCCAGTCTCATGGAATCTGGGGGAAAAAGATGAAGAGTTTCAGACTAGCCCGGGGCACATAGTGAGACCTATGCCGAAACAATACAAAAACTATCATTTAGTTTTCTGTTATGACAAAGAATCACAGAAGTTGTTTTCAAAGTCGTCAGAGATTCTAACACTGCGAATGAGGAGGGAGCAAGTCTTAAAGAGGGAGCCGTGAGGCGGGGCTACCCAGGAATAATGGGTAGACTTGTGACAACAGAGCCTAGGGTGCCTCAGGAACAAGAGCATGGGGCTAGAACACCATTTTACAGGGGCCTCCCAGTCTGGGAGCAAGTACCTCCTAGCTGCAGGGTGCATACTTAACTGGCGGCCCCTTAGCACAAGCAAGGCTCCTGGCTCATTAAAGCTTCTATGGCGTTTTAGTTTTAAACAACCCATCCACAAACCAGTGTCACGTGAGCTTTTTGCAGCCAGGATTGAGAATCGCTATATTAAAAACAAGTGGCTTACAACAATCTATAATGAGATCTGGCGCCCTCTTCTGGCCTACAGGCATACATGCAGGCAGAACGCTGTATATATAATAAATCTTAAAAACAAAACAAAACAAAAACCCAACTAAACGAGGAAGGGCAGACTCGGAAGTGGCTCACAGAATGGTTAGTGGTGGGTCACAGGGTGCTTCAAACCTTAGAAGCAGTTTGAAACATGTCCCCCCAGAGAAATCATAGTGACCCAGTCCAAAAATGAATGTAGATCATTTTCCACTGTTGTTTTAAAAGAAAAAAAAACCCTCCAAGTACTTTAAATTTCAAAATATTTTCCCCGTTTAGGGGAGAAGATCATTCCCAGCTGGGTCTAACTGGCAGTGAAACTGCTCGCCTGCCCAGAGGCTTGGAGGCAGGCAGTGGAACTGAGTGTGTGAAGCTTCTCCTGGACGCTAGGTGGCGCCGTGGACTGAGACTTGGTAAAAAGTGCTTCAAAGAAATGTTAGACGGGGAGAAAGGTCTTGGAAACTGCAATTCTTCACGTGCGGATTTTAAAAATATCATTATTGTTAAGTATTAATTCATCATCATCATCATCATCATCACCATCATCATCATCATCATAATCATTATTGTTGTTGTTATTGTTATTGCTATTTACTTTGTGTGTGAACAAAAGCTGGTCTCTTTTCTTACGTCGTATCTGTGAACAGAGAAAGCGATGGAGGCTGTTCCCAGTGTGCCCTCTGTACTGCAGCTCCAGAGGCGCAGCAGGAAAGAGGCTGAGACAACCCGGGCTGTTTGCCCACCAGGAGGCACTGCTAGATCCGCGAGCAGAGCAGGGAAGGGTGGTGTGGGCCTCTCCCAGCTCCTTCCCTGCAGACTGGGCCCACAGTGGCTAGGTTTCTTCTTTCTCACCAACAAAAGCTTTCTTCGGATTTGGGTTCACGAATTCCCGCTTCCCCTTGTTTCTCGGGCCTTCGGACAGCAGTGATTCTCTTCCGAAACTTGCCCACCAGGTTCCTGTCTCTTGTTGTTAGCCCTGACCACACCTTTGAAAAGAGCCCAGTGGTTGTGTTTTCCGGCCTCCTGCCAGGATGCTTCCCGGTTCTGTCTCCTTCCTCACATCCCTGTACCACACCCACCCAGTTCTCTCTAAGAAACCAATTCTTTTGGTTTCCTATACTTATAACCACACAACCATATAGATATACACGTGTTCCTTTCAACTATTTACTCAAATTATGGCATACTTGAGTGCTGCGCCTTGATTTATTCCACATAAGATACCCTAAAGGTCCCTCTACAGCTGCACACAGAAAGCTCCCTTATACCTATTTATGGCTGAATTATATTCTACTTTGTAGGAATACGATTACTTTTTAACCAGCTCCGTATCAGTAGAGATGTAGGTTATTTCCAGGCGGCTGTTGTTATAAATGTTTTCATAAGGAGTAACGTTGTATAAAGGCCACTGTCCTCTGACATTTGTGTGTCTGAGGAAATGTATGAGATTGAGTAAATCGCCTCAGGTTAATTCTTGTCAAAGCCCATGTTACAATAGTCAGAAGCAGTAGGTTAACATCTGTGATGTAAAATTTTTAGGATATTACCCCACATGGACTGTCTATTTCCACTCCCCTCCTCTCTCTCATCCCCCCCCACCCCCCAGCTCTCTTTTTCTTTTAAAAATAGGGTTTGGCTGTGTTGCCCAGGTTGGTCTTGAACTTGTGATCTTCCTGCCTCAGCCTTTTGAGCAGCTGAGACTCCACGTGTGTGCTACTATATCTGGTTCCAAATTCCATTCTTATCAAGTTCCACCCATTTATCTGCAGCCTAGTGGCTGTGAACACAGGCCATGGTGTTAGCGTATGCTTTCTGCTCCATTGGTCATTATCTGTGTGATCCCGGGCAGATGATGGCTTCTTGGTGCCTCAGTTTCCCCATATATAAAATGATTCATTTCTCATAGTCAGATGGGAATGCTCAGTGCTTGGAGTGGTGTCTGGCCAGTAAGAGCCTCTGTCACATTCCTGCAGCGCTGCCCGCCCTGGGCACTCACACAGAGACCCAGAGGTGTGCACTGATGTCTCCTTAGTAGCTTGCCTTTCATGGAAATGATATAGATGTTCTTGAAAGCTAAGTATGGCCAAAAATTAGGGAACTGGATACTTGAAATGGGTCCTAGAGAGGAAGAGAGTTTCCGGAGATACCCTTCCTGCATTATAATTTTGTTTTGATTTCCCTGTTCTCATGTACGTAAAACAGCGAGACCCACACATTCACCAACCTGCTTAGCTAGTTGGGCATCCTTTCAAGAGAATATCCTCCTCGCCATTTTCAAACTAGACTTGTGGTTCATAAGGCTCCACCATCGATACCACCAATAAACTAGGAGCATCTTGCTTCAGAAATCCACACCACCCCCAGCTGAGTTGATCAAACCATCTCAGCATCATCCTTTACTGATCTCTTTCCTAGACATCATATTGTACTTGTTCTTAAATCCTATGAATTATTTCTTTTGAGTAGTCCTCAGCTTTAACCTTTTTCTTTCTGCCTCCTCTAAGACTCCCTTACATCTAATTTTTGTTTTTCAGGGACCACTGTAGAGTCATCTGGGGAGAAGGAAGTAAAGTTGAAGAATGAAGGGCTTGTAATGGTCTTGGTTGATGGTTGATGTAAGAGGTCCTGCCCTCTGCAGGCGGCACCATCTCTACACAGGTGGGGTCTGGCCCCTATAAGCAGTCTAGAGGAGTAAGCTAGTAACCAGTGTCACTTCATGCTCTCTGTTTAATCCCAGCACTCGGGAGGCAGAGCCAGGCGGATCTCTGTGAGTTCGAGGCCAGCCTGGGCTACCAAGTGAGTTCCAGGAAAGGCACAAAGCTA